TTTTTTTTTTTTTTTTTTTTTTTTTTTTTTTTTTTTTTTTTTTTTTTTTTTTTTTAGAAAACCGGGTTGTTACAGATATTCCTTTTAAATAATATTTGTTTTACGACATTTTATATAATATAATATAAGTATGAAATAAGAGGGTGTTGATTAGTATAATACATGCCAGTATATGGTCATTAGATTCCGAAGTTCTATGTTATAAATTGCTCATCCGTCATCTCCGTAGAGCGTTTACGATTTTTGCTGGTTGCGATCAATTGAAAAATCGACCTGTTGAATCGTAACCTAGCCACCTACAATCACAATAAAACGCATAATTTCTAATCACAATTTTATATCCCGTTTTGGTAGCCTTTTGTGATATTTGAACAAATTATTTGATATTATTAATGGCAAATTTTTGGATTAAGAAAATATTAAAAATGTATTAATATATTAAATACTTTGTTAATATTAAATATTTTTTATTATAAACTATGTTACTTTGATTCATCAGAATGATTTTTTAGAAATATTGCTAGGATTTTTAATAGCTATTTTGAAACATATGTTAAAACGTTACAGTCTAAAATATATTGGGTCCAAGATAATGTATTTTTAAGCTAACCGAAAATATAATTTCATAGAAATATTACTGTGTCGATATATGATGCTTCAAATTTGATGAATATTTTTTAATGTAATATAAAAAATCGTGAATCTATTTACACTATCTAATATTTCATTCATATATATATATATATATATATATATATATATATATATGAAACTAAAATAAACGCCCAATTTTTTAATCCAATTATCCACACAATGTTTAAATAAATAAACATGATTAAAGAAAGATGTGCGCATTCGAAACTAATTAATAGAAAATTTAGGAAAACAATAAAATTTTAAAAAATGTTTAGATCCGAACTAATTAGGCATGTTATATTATATAACATTTTTGTATAACAATTCAAAATTCTAACAGTATTTTAAATATATAAGTATACAATCTTTATGCCTCACCTAGATTATAGAAAGATGTGTGCATTTAGACTCGGTGATATTTTTTCAGTTACTTCGCTTCTTAATCGAACCGAATAAAGGTATTTTGATCATTAATCGAATCAAACTGAATAATCGATTGATTATAAATCTTCAAAACTCTAAATTAATAGTTGTAATCATTTGACTATAAATATTTAAAATCCAAAGATAATTAAATTCGAATGGAACCAAACCTAATCGTTTATATATGTATATATATATATATATGTATTTCCAATTTACTCATTGTCTTATTATTCTATTATTTTCAAAGTCTGTACTATATGAATATTTGAACATGATAATATTTACTTATAGATTCTTATTATCATGTTTTTATATAAGAATAAATTATGATATGAATTTAGAATTTATTGTTTTAATACGTAAGATGGTTATAATATCATTTTATATTATATATTGTTTGAATATTCTTCTATTCGAATTTTTTTAATATTATAACCAAACTGAATTTTTATTTAGTTATAATTTTCAATAGATAAAACTGAATTGAATCAAAATCAAAACGAGCCGAAACCATACCAAATAAAATTAAATAATTAGTTGGTTATAAATATTTAAAATATGAAATAACCAAACACGGATTAATCATAATCAATCAACCCAAGTGAAGAGTTCATCCACCCCTTTTCAAACTACTTAGTAGAAAAATTAAGAAAACAAAAAAAATTTAAAAAGTTTAGATCCAATCTATTTAGGCATGTTATATAAAATATTTGTATAATAATTCAAAATTCCAACGGTATTATTATAAATACATAAGTATCCAATCTTTATGGCCACACCTAAAATTTTATACGTTACAGTTTGTCATTACAAATTATAATAAACAAAATTTTTATATGAAGGATATTGGGGAAGAACCCTCCCGCATGCTTGGTTTTATTTCAATTTAGTTGATTTTTTTAGATTATTTGGTTTCCATTTTTATTAAAAAAATCTTTTAAAAATTATTTTGTTTTGTTTTACTTTTTTCGATTTTTCTGGGATCAAATAATTCAGTTCTAACAGTATATGATTTTTAAATCAACTAAATATTATTCAATATGGTTCGATTTTACATACTTGAAATGCCATCCCTAAAAATTATAATTTTCTTCATCTTTATAATCTTTCAGAAAAAATTATAACTAATGATAATCTGGATAATTTTTAAAATATTTTAGTGATATTTTTTACTTAAAAATGAAAAAAAAATGTATTTTACTTGATGTTTGCACACATTTTACTATTTAAGGGAATGAATTTAGCAAATTTTGTTGATCCTCCCCATTTTTTGCTCTAACGGATAGCTTCATCATTACGTCACCGACCAAACGGCTGCTTGTTTGAACTTCAAAGTTCAAACAGACGATAGTACAAATTTGAATTTATGGACGCAAATACCCCTTCGTATTATCTATCTTGCCCTTCATCTAATCCCCCCCCCCCCCCCCCCCCCATTGAATCAATAAATTAACTGATTTTGACAGATAGAATAATACATATATTGTCATTTAAAGACGGAAATAAATACAATGTACCCACGTGGGAAGTTTGATATGATAGTTACCCACACTTGGCTAAGGGTACTTAATATCTTGAAATTAGTCCATTGATTAATTCCGGCTTCGTGATTTAAATGTATACTATCTCAGAAAAAAATGATTCCAAATTAATGTGTAACAATTCGTAGGCCGTTTTAACCAAAAAAAAAAAACAATTCGTAGGCCGGGGACCATATAATGCGAAAGAATTTTTATAAAATCCCACTCAGCTCCTAAATTTTATTCAAGATTAATTAAATAAATTTAAATTTTAGATGTAATTGTAAATAATTATCTTTTGTTTATGAATTTTAAAATTGACTATTGATAATATGTTCTTTAATTCAGAAAAACTCAAATTTTGAGAATTTCTAATTTGTAGTTAAGAAAAAAGTAACAAAATTTCCATGTATCATTATATCCTGGATTAGATTTCTTAAATTTTTAGTTTTAGGAGAGGGAATTCTGGGTTTAAGAAATGGAAGGGTATTGTTATAAAAAAACAAAAGGAAGTTCAAGGATATTTTGGTCAAGGAGCACTGGAAATAATAAAATTTAAAATAAAAAATTGACCGGCTAGAGCAGGTAATACTCCCCCTATCACCGCCACGTGTCTGTTACATCAAAGCGCCCCTCAGAGAGTCACATGCAATGGGAATAAAATAAAGTATTTAAAAAGAAAGAAAGAAAAGGCTTCCAATGAGAAAGCGGTCCTTGTTTCAAAATTCACCAGCGAAGAGAGAGAGAGAGAGGAGAGAGAATCCTCTGCGTCACAGTGTACGTGTATCTTACACATTATATATACATATAAAATATACACACAGCTTGGCTTTTCCTTTGTTTTAAAACAGAAGAAGAGTAGCTACCACTCCACTCCTCTGTATTCTCTTCTCCTATACATACGTTTCCGTTTGAGCGTGCTTTCCTGTCTTTTCTCTTTGTTTATGTTCTTTGTCTCTCTGGATCAGCGTTAGATATATTCTTCCCAGCAATCGAATCGAATCCGCCATTGCTTTCGCAGCGAGCTTATAACGAGAAGAATCGTAATCACTCTCTCGAGCTGTTTCTGCCTTTTTCTCTGTTTCTCTGGAATTTTGAGGAATCGCGAAATGAATCCATCTTTGTCTCTTGGTTTTTTGAATTTTTTTTTTTTGGTTTTGGGTGAAGAATCGCGAAAGGACGAGGAAAAGACCGGGAGAAGATGGAGAGAAGCACTCCGGTGAGGAAACCACACACGTCGACGGCGGATCTGTTGACATGGCCGGAGAATCAGCCGTTCGAGTCTCCTGCCGCTGCTCGCTCCGCCGTCAGATCACACCAGGTACTAATTTAGTAATGTTTCCTACTGCAGATTAGTTACTTTTATTCGATTCGATCGGAGAATATTTTGATTTTCCTAATTTCCGTTTGGGAAATTATCGTAGCCGTCGGATGGGATCAGTAAAGTGGTGTTTGGAGGCCAAGTGACGGATGAGGAGGTGGAGAGCTTGAACAAGAGGTGAGAGATCTGGAAATTTTTTCCCTACTTTTTATTTCCTATGCTTTTATCTCTTGCAACTGATGGTGATCTTTTCTCTTTGACCCTTAAGGAATTTCCGTGATTTTTCAGTAGGCAATTTCAAATCTCCATAATAAATGCGATTGTTCGGTCTGTAATTTTTGTTCTCGTTTCATCTTGTTTGTATTATTCACGGTTCTCTTTCGTATTTTGTCTCGTTCTGCTATTTTGTTTTCCTCCATGGTGTTTTGTAGGTTTTTGGAAAACAATCGATGCTAATTTCCTTGCAAGGATTTGAGATTTAGAGATACCCAACAAATCCATACTTCTTTATAATTCAATGAAGTATGGTTTGATAAGATTCTGCAACGCCTTATTTTATTTTCCAAATTGGTAATGGCATGCACCTTCATGTTGGTGTTAGTATTGTAATTCTCGGGATGAAGAGATGAATGCAATTTGTTTCCAGCTGATTTCTTTCCTTTCATTGGCAAAATATTTGGTGAATCTAATTTCATTAGGGAGGAATGAGTTCACTTCAACTTGTTGTTCATCTAGGAAACCTTGTTCAAACTACAAAATGAAGGAGATCACGGGGAGTGGCATCTTTTCAGTGCATCAAGATGATGATGCGTCAGAACCCGGAAGCGCCGACCTGACCGCAAACGGCAAATCAAGAGCATATCAGGTGTCTGATCTAAATTATGTTCAGTAAACAAAATATTCTGAAGAATTGGAGAACTCAGTTACATAAAACGGAAATCTAAAGTCTTCTTTCAATTCATTTGATCAAAGTTCGTAGTTGTCTTATCATTTTATATGGATTCTTTAGCATCCCCCAGCAGCTATTGTAAGCCACATATCCTTTGGCGAGGAAGGTATTATAACTCCGAAGAAGCCTACTACAGTACCCGAGGTTGCGAAGCAGCGTGAGCTCAGTGGCACGCTGGAGAGCGAATCTGATGCTAAGTTGAAGAAACAGATTTCAGATGCCAAGTGTAAGGAGCTTGTCGGTCATAATATATTTGCTCCTCCACCCGAGATTCAAGCTCGGCCTACTGTTCGTGCTTTGGCATACAAGGACAATTTTGACTTGGGAGAATCAGACGCCCAAACTGTAAGCTCTGAACTCCAATTACCCTTATGATTTCTAAATGAAGTTAGAGAATCTTATATTGACGAAATTCAATTTTAATGTTGCGTGGTCTTGTGGAATTAGAAAAAGGTTTTTTTTTTTTGTGGCAAGATCGTATCCCCGTCCCATCTTTGTTTTCAAGTATACCATGAAGATATCTTTCTCTGGCTTTTTGGTTCATTTCTTTTAGCAGAATGGGGAAGAAAACGTGGTGAAGACGGCGAAGAAGATCCCAGATAGGAAATTCACCGACCTATCAGGAAACAACATATTCAAGGGCGACGTTCCTCAGGCGTCAGAAGAGAAGCTCCTAAGCAATGCCAAGTTGAAAGAGATCAGTGGCAACGACATATTCGCAGACGTTAAGGTCAAATCCCGTGACTACTTTGGCGGCGTACGCAAACCTCCGGGTGGAGAAAGCAACATTGCTCTGGTCTGAAAAGCCTGCCCAAACAAGCAAAATCCAATTTCTCCATTAGAAGGTCTAACACTCTCTTCCCTCTGAATATTTGATGCCATATATATATTTATCATCTTCATATATATCTTCGTTGTCTTTTTTCGACATTTTAACGGATTTGTGTGTTTATAAGATCGGAAAAAGAAAGACCCATTGTGTGTTATTGGGAGCTGCAGTCTTAGGTTCTGTTTGATTCTATTCTGATGAAACTTCTCTGGCTATAATCGGGTACTGGAATGTTTGTTTGGAATGTTTTGGGGCTAATATGTGAAGTGATAAGAATATGTGGGCCATTTTAGTGAACTGCAAAAAAAAAAAGTATATGCCGTGAGGATGCAAAGGGACAGAGTTTGTTTCTTGTCTAAGGAAGGAACGCTCTTTGCCCCTGGTCTGTCCCAAAACGGAAACGAACGACCAAATCGGAATAAGACGGAAGAGATTGGTTTAAACTTGACACGATTAAAATTGTTCAAACCATTTACTAAAACGAAACGATGTGTTTATATCATGGTCTTGACTATGATAACATATTATTTTTTCGTGAAATATTATTTATTTTTAGGGGTAAAATCCCTAAAAAACCTCCAACTGGCAAAAATATATACAAATAAACCTTCAATTTGAAAAACTATCATTCAATCCCCGAATTTGTAACTTGTCACTGAATAAAACATCGAACTTGCAAATTATTGCTCTAATAAACCTATTAGACCTTTGACCGGTTTGACCACAATTTCAGGCGATCGGAAATCCATGTATTAACGGATTGCTGATGTCACTTTATACACGTTATCAATTTTAATTTAAAAAATGACATCAGTAATCTGTCAATATGTGGATTTCCGATCGTTTGAAATTGTGGTCAAACCGGTCAAAGGTTTATTAGAGCAATAATTTGCAAGTTCGAGGTTTTATTCAGTGACAAGGTACAAGTTCGGGGATTGAATGACAGTTTTTCAAGTTAAAATTTTATTTGTATATATTTTTGCAAGTTGGAGGTTTTTTTGGGGTTTTACCCTTATTTTTATTTTTAGTGGGTATTCAAGTTTCACTAATTTATATCATATTGAATTATATGGGCCTTTCATTTCAGTTACTAGGGAAAAAGTTTTGTGACCCAAACCCATTATATAAAATGGAGCAGTTTTGGGCCGATTGATAGATTGAATTTTTTTTTTAAAGGGGGAAATAAAAACTAGAAATAAGAAACCAATAAACTATAACAATTCACATATCTCATTCGCGGATGGAATGTTCGAACAATTCTGATTTGGTGTTCGTAGGCTGGATATCAGGATGGGATGTTCGGATATTCACCAGTATCCGTAGATACACGAATGTTTAAGGATATACAAAATCCTGGTTCGGAATTTCCGAGCATAGATGAATGATAATAAGTGCCGTTTCAACTCAAGCATGTTTAGGCAACCTAATTGAAATGACAAAGACATTCTCTCTCTCTCTCTCATGTAATTATACCATTTATATGACATATATTAATCTATCATGTATGAACGAAGTCCAATCCAAAAGTATTTTAAGTTAAAAAATATGTGAACTTGATTTAATTTTTTTTTGGATAATTCGTTAAAAAAAAGATATAATGAGAGTGAGATCGCTTAGTCAATCCGTGAAAAAAAAGCTAAGTCCTGATATAGTGATTGTTCATGGAGAATTTACCGTTTCAGACACCGAAGGTGATTGGTTGTAATTTTCGTGGCTTTTCATTTTTTTAACCAAAGAACACCTTTTTTTTGTTTGCTTTGACTTTAAATTCAATATAAAAAAAAAGAAAATAATTAATAATGATTATTAATGTATGGTCTTAAAACTATATAGTAAACGAAGGGAAGTTTTTTAAAATCGGATGCGTTGTAATATTGGCTTCCTTAGGGTTTTTTTTCGTAACAAATTAAAGAAGTGAAAGCCATGATAGAAAACCCATATTGTTATAGGTCTTTTTATATTCCTCCAATTAGAATATTTTTTTCCTGATAAAAGAAAAATGAAATTTCTGTAAGCGTAAGTAAATTATTATATAACAAAATTATGCTATATAATACAACATAAAATTAAGCTCAATAACCAAAGGTGATAATTGAACTGACGTATGTACGTTGAATTGTGTATTCATGTATGTGTGTGTGTATACATTTTATAGTGCTTTAGAAACATGTCACTTGTCAAGCGTAGGTTTAAGGTGCAGGTAATATAACCTTCTCGAAAGCCTTCGACTTAATTATTCTATTAAAAACCGTCACACTTGTGATTAAATATTATATGCTTTTGAAAAACAAAAAAGTCAAAATAGAGCGTTTATTAAAAAAATAATTAATACTGACTATAATCAGAAGAAATCACACACCCTGTTGCATAAAAAAAATGCCCATTTTGGTATTTCATATGGCATTATTGAAGAGTTCAATTATATTAATTTTTTTTTCATCATACTCGCATATATATATATATATATACATATGTATGTAAATGTATATGTTGCAAATGGATGGGATGGTGGTGAACCGAAAAAGTCAAAGTAGGCTATTAGGTTTTCTTGCAATGTCATCAAAACTCGTGAGTCACTGATTAGGTTATCCATTAGGGACTTGAAACTCACAAGGAAACTAAATAAGTGTGTTAAGTCCTGAATTACAGTGAGTAGAGGGCACATTCTTGGTTCTTAAGCTATCTCTAATAAAATAAAATTAATTTATGTCAACATATAGGATTATATGGATTAGCGTTATATATATATATATATATATATATGAATCAAATCAAATCTAAAAAGTGATTTCGATAAAAAAAAATTTAAAAAAAAAATAAATTAATCGAGTTCAGATAATATCCGAACGGTTTAATTTCCAAGGATCATTATATGATCTTAGTTTCACTGTCATAAATTTAAGTCACAAATGTGTGTGTGTGTGTCTTTATGCATCTCATTAGAACATGGGATTAATGCAAATATGTTTTTAGGGTGTAAAGAAACATCGTCTAAGAACTTATATTGAATTGGTTAAAATTAATTAAAAAATATCATAAATAAAATATTATTAGAGTATTAAATCTGATCCCCATGCAAGATGAAAGTATTTATATATATACGCTATACCTAAAACACGAAATGATTGTATAATAGTCGAGATTAGTATACCAATTATGATTTACACCTTATATTTGTATAGACAAATCAAGGTAAAAGAAACACAAAATTATATTTATACATAGTATGTTCAATATGCTTTATTTATTAAATTTCAACCAAAACTTACATTACAAAAATTCTAATCCCACAAATACCAGAAAGAAATACAGGTCACGGCATGTAATTAGTTATTGACTAATTAATTGATTTGAAGAATTAACAAAAGTTGGAAGCATATATATGCGATTGATAAATTATATTATTATGGAATGGATTTACATTATTATCTCTTTATTTACTGTTTTTTTATAACGGACAGAACCACCACGACCTTTTGGGTGACACAATAGCCTGTTAATCACGTGAAACATATAAACCAACCGAAATTGACAATTTCAAGGAGAAACTCATGTTCCGAAGGGTTGAAATCATGACCTCCAACTAGGAGTGGCTCTCAACCAAACTGAACAGGGTTTTTCCCCTTTATATACTGTTTGTATATATGAGAAATTTCAAATCAAATAAAAATATTATGGATATGCATGATATATATATACACATATTATTTGCATGTATATTTTCACGTTTTGTAATAGAGTACGTATGATATTACCGAGCGAATCTCAATATGGCATTAGAATTCAGATTATGCGAGGAAAACAAATTGTAGGAAAGAAAGCAATATAATTTCCAAATGATCCGATGGGGGAAGATCTTTTGAGTGAGGGTTGGAGGAGAGATAAAAGACAGCATACGTAACGTATCTACGAGAACTCTGACCGTATTTCATGTCATCCCAAAGTCTTTTTGTCTGTTTATTTCATTTTTCTTACAAAATTAATTTTATAATTCTATGTTTTAGTTGAAAACCCGAGAGTACAAGCAATTCAGTTTGTTTAGCTGACCCTTGAAAATCACGATTTCTACATCCACCATATCACTTTATGCATGATTTCATTTCATTTCCACGTCCATTTAATTTTTAATTATGGGTCTCGAAAGATGAGATTTGATGTAATTAAAATATAGTAATTTATGGACAAATTCTAAGTTCTTAGTCCTCCCGACAATGAATCTCCGTTCAAGAACCAAACTCCTTGGTTTCTTCTTCTGCCAAGAACCGTTTTCCAACTAAGTCATGGATACGTATAGGTTTCTATAACAAATCTGCATTAATTTCAATGCATTCTGTTGAATATATATTAAATCGAATACAAACTCGATTTAGACCGATTTTATTTTGGTCCCAATAATTTTGGCTGTATAAAAAACACTAGAGAAAATTATGTGAATAGTTAGATGCATGCGCCCACTCACGAACAAAAAATGAATAACACGTCACACACACAAAAAAAGTTCATAACAAAGTTTATATATCAAAAGAATCCGATCGAAACCGGTATATTTGTGATGTTACGTGACAAATTCATTTGCATGCATTGTATTAACTATTTCACATGAGTACGCACGAGACCTTTTAAATTGGATTATTTGGATAATTTGGCAGTTTGGTCGGACAATAAATAACAGTATTTCACAACATGTATAGTTATCCATTGCCCTAAACATTATCGTTTCCATATACTCGCAAATATTATTTGATTTCACAACTATGCTATATAGACTCCTTCACATATTGTTGAATTTCGAATAATGGGAACAAATATCTCTTGCATTACTTGAAGTGGTGAACTACGGTCTTTAAATAAAAAAACGAAGAAGAGCACATAGAACAACAAGCTAAATACACCCAAACCGAACAAAAAATTTAGCAAATACAAACCAGATGTATTTAATCTTCTAATATATATATATATATATATGGTCACCATAACGATAACTAAGTATTCAGGTCACAATAATAAAATATTTAATACGTTACATGTAAATATTTATTTTTTGGAAATGTCGGGGGATTAGATATTTGTTTTAATGTTAGGTAAAACATTAAAATTAAATATACATAAGGCTTGTGCTAGACGATAATCTTCTACTTTAGCAATTTCTTTTCTCCTCACATAAAACTCTCAAGAAACATATATAGTCATGAAGCACAAAGAAAACGTTGAACACAACAACGGTGTAACGACAAGTGCCTTGGAAGATTAATTTCCCAAGCAACCGCGTGCGAACATC